GGGGGGGGGGTCCAGGGAGTGCGATCAGCGCCGTGATTAGCCTCGCCTGGAGGCCATATAGTCCGGCCCGGCCGCCACGCCCACCGTATCGAGCTGCAGTGCCCCGTGCCTGCTCGCGCAGCCTGCTCGTGCGCGCGTGTCGCCCTGCTCGCCCTGCTCGCCCCCAAAGGCTCGATCCACACCGGAGGCAGAAATGAGTATGCAGCGAGAGGGCTTATCGATTATACCGCATCACGGTAAAGAGCCGCCGATACGAGATACGATACTGCGTACTGCGTTAACCCGCCAACCAACGCAAACACGCGCGCGCGCGCACACACACACGCACACGCACACACACTCACACACACACACAGGCACACACTCAAACCGCCATATGACCTCTCAGTTCTCTACCATGCTGCCCTAAGTCTCAAAACGAGGCTAGTGCGCAAAGAGGTCGCGGGATGAGTAGTAGTAGTACAGCCCTCATTAGCAAAAGTAGTTTGAAACGAGTAAATCGACCGTAAATCAGCCTAATGGCGCCCCCTCTTACCCCAACCACGCGCGAGCGCGGGGAATTCCACCCGCCTCGGCGAGAGGGGGGGAGCAGCGTGGTGGTCGGGCGGGGCGGTTCGCGGAGGGGCGGCGCGCGGTGGTGGGCTCCCGCCCATTATTTTGGAGATTTATGGCGCGCGAGGAGAGCGCGGGTGAATTCCTCCTCGCGGCGTCCACGGCGAGCAAGAGGAACAAGTTGGACTACAGGACCGCGGGCAAAGTCGCGGCTGGCGCGGCTCGCCCCTGCTGCTTCGCGGTGTAAGCACGAGCAGGGGCTGGACGCGTGCGCGCGCACACACACAGCGGCGAGGGCGGACGGGCGCGGGCGGGCGGGCGGGGCTCGCTCACGCTGGCGTGTCCAGGCGACATTAGGGCCCCGCATAGGGCCGCGCCCTCCGCGGCCCACGTGGGCGCACAAATCAAGATGGCCGACCGGCCCGTCACCACGTGTGCCGCCGTGTGCATGGCGTGGGCGTGTGGCCTCTCGGGTAGGGTGCGCTGCCGCGGGGGGCAGAGCGAGGATGCGCCAAATGTCGGGAAGGTCTGCTCGCCGCGGCCGGGGCGGCTCAACCTGTGCGCCCCGCGCGGTGTCTTCGCGGTGTGCTCGGCGGCGGTGCGTCCCTGGCCGGCCTCCTACCCCCTTGAGCCCCGCCCGAGAGCCCCCAGGACTCTCTACCCGCGTCCCCCGCCGTGCGTGCGTGCGTGCGCTACGCGCCGCTGCGGCACTAACAAGGCGGCCCTGCTGACTTTACATGTCGGCGGAATGGGTTGTTCCAACGCGAGTGAGGCGCGCGGGGGGCTGCCCCCCTGGCCGCGTGCATGCGTGTGTGGTGCGTGCGTGCGCTAGCCAAGCTCACCTGCAAAAGGGCCCGCGGCAAGGGATCACATAGGCACGCGGAAATGAGAAATACGATATTTTGCTTACAGCTAGTACTTTACTGTTTTAAATGGAAACACGACAACACGACGAAACTGCTCGCAAAACTCCCATATGTATATATCAAACTCGATTTTTTTTTCATTTTAAGCATTCAGTCAATCACTCACACACGTAATACACACACACACACCAGCGATTTTTTCGGCCACACAATTTAAAGTTTGATTCCACGCGACCGGCTCTACCTGAGTCACAGCGACGCGGTTCTGCACTCTGTGTCGCGCGCGTCCACAGGAGCAGCAGCAGCAGTAGCAGCTGCACCGCCACACCGGTGGCAGAGGACCAGCTGTCAGTCCAGATGCAGTCCGGCCTATGCACTTTGGCTTGCTCAATCGAAGCTCCGGGGAAGAGAAGGTATTCGCCTGGGCGGCCGCGGGCCGGGCGCGCGCGCCGTCGATACGATCGGTATGAGGACGCCGCCGCCGCCACCCGCCCCGCCAGCGCACCGCCAGGGGCACCACTGAGTTATTCTTTCCGGCCAGCTCCCCATTTTGTCAATTAGGCTACCGTTCTTTGCGCGCCGTGGGCGGCCGAGTGGACAAAGAGGGGTTCGACGGCGGTGCGGTGGCCGCGGGGAAGGGTTGTGTGTCACCGCACGGTTACTTTTTGAAAGCGAGGCGGGAAAGTAAATGAAGTGAATAATTAAAGAAAACGGCAATGAGACAAAATTCAATAATACAAAAAGTGCCGCCATGTTCACAGTGTGAGTGAGGAACTGGGGAAAACTGTGTGTGTGGGTGTGTTATCGCCAGGGCCGCCAGAGGCGCCGTATGGGCTCGGCTCGGTATCACCCGCCATATTTGATGCCCGCCTCCGCCGCCCCCACCGCCCGCTCCGCCCCGCGGCGCGTCCCCGGAGCGTATCGGGGCGTTTGTGTGTACTCCTTGCTGTTTATCGCACCATCAAGGGCCACCAACATACATTAACGTGTCGCTCGGTGTATCTTAATACAAGTTATGTGCGCAGCGCGGCGCGGTGGGGTGGGGGCGGTAGGAGCGGTGGGGGCGGTAGGGGCGGTAGGGGCCGGTGGGACGGACCCCACGCCTGTGAGACCTCTCGTAAAGTTCAGCGCGCCCGCGGCTTCGTAATGTGATTCACGGAGGGCGGAGTCGCCGCCGACGTGGTGGACGCGGTCCTCGGCGACGCCGGCGGCGCGTATCGTCCCGTCGTCGTCCCCGCGGTCCTCCCCGACCGGGAGTGCGAGCGGAGCTGGGGGGCGGCCGGCGGCGAGGCACCAAAGAAGACCCCACCTGTAGCAAAGTTACCCCCGCGTCATACGAAGGAGCAGCGCTGCGCCCGTGTCCCACCTGGCCCTATTGCACAAAAAATAATTAAAATACGAGTACATACATGCGATGACGTTCCCGTCGATACAGCCAGCAACGTGCGTGGCGTGCCGTCGATACGGTAGCGTGATGCGATGCAGTCGTCGTCATTACGGGAGCGCTGAGCTGCCCGCTGCCCGCACTGAAGTCTTTGCAGCTGCTCCCCCCCCCCCACCCCTCCC